GTGCTATGTGTACTAAGGGAGAAAAGCCATCAACGGTTGTGGTGGTTTGAATAGGTATGGCCCCCATAGACTCATGTGTTTGAATGCTTGGCCCATAGGGAGTGGCACTTTTTAGGAGGTGTGGCCTTTTGGAGGAAGTGTGTCATTTTGGAGACAGGCTTTGAGGTCTTATATGCTCAAGCTACGCCCAGTGTGGCAAGCAGTCTCCTTCTGCTGCCTGCGGATTAAGATGTAGGACTCTCAGCTCCTTCTCCAGAACCTTGTCTGCCTGCATGCTGCCATGCTTCTCACCATGATGATAATGGACTAAACCTCTGAAACTGTAAGCCAACTCCAATTAAATGTTTTCCTTTATAAGAGTTGCCGTGGTTGTGATGTCTCTTCACAGCAATAGAAACCCAAACTGAGACAGAAGTTGGTACCAAGGAATGGGGTAGTGCTTTGATAGGTGAGAGCATGTTTTTGTTTGGAGGAATACGGTCTTTGGGACTGTGAATTAGAAAAGCAGTTGAACACTTTAAGCAGGGCTTAATGGGCCATTCTAATAGAAACATGGGAGACAGTAGTGCTGAGGGTGATTTGAAGTGTGGGGGCTGGCTCAAGAGGTTTCAGAGGAGAAAAATGTTAGTCTGTGGCCTAGAGACTGGTCTCGTGATCTTTTGGTGAAGAGAGTGGCTGCTTTTTGCCTCTGTCCAAAGAGTCTGCCTGAGGCTAAAGTGAAGAGATTTGAATTAATTCCATTGGTTGAAGAAATCAGAAAACTGCTTAGTATAGACTCTGTCATGTGGTTAATAGTGTTCACTCTTATGAAGATTTATAATGAAAAGGAGAAAGCTGAGCAAGAAAAAAATAAAAAATGTACAGATTAAGGAGAAAAGGGGCATCAGGAAGTGGAATGGAGCTCAATTCTGTGTTCAAGGAGATAAACAGATTGAGAAATGGAATAAAGGGAGTGGTGACCTCAGGGAAAGACCCCGCCCAGCTAACCTTCCAACTTGTGAAAAGGAATTAAAGAACAGCTTAGGTGTGATAGTGCACACCTAAATCCCAGTATTCAGAAGGCAGAGGGTGGCAGATCTTTGTGTCTGAGACCAGTCTGGTCTACAAAGCAAGTTTCAGGACAGCCAAGCTTAGGAGTGAAGGACAGAAAACTGATAAAGATGTAATTGATGGAGGGGCCATGTTCCAGTCCCAGCAAGCAGAACAATGTGGTTCTGGCTTTAGAATCAAGGACAGAAGAAAGGGTTTATGGAATCTCCCTCCACGACTAAGGAAAGCCACTGAGGCCAGGCATGTGTTTGGGGTGTCCCTGAATGGAGGCCCAGAGAGGCCAATGCCTAAAGCTGTGAAGGTAAAGCCTAGATTGCCTTGAAGACCCCAAGATGTTGGAGATGACAGAGCCATGGGGTACCTGCCAAGGAACGCTGCTAACATGGAGTGGAACAAGCCCGAGAGAGAATTGTGTTGTAGTCAACAAAGCTGAAAGGAGTTGGATTTCTGAAGAGTGTTTGGACATCAGACATGGAGATACAAACTTTAGAGTTTGTTCAGCTGGTTTTTAGTTTTGCTTTGGTCCAGTTTTTCATCATCTATGGGGTACAGACTCACATAGCATGACTCATTCAAAAACAAAAGTTGTTCATTAAATTTTTAAAAATCTGTTTTGCAAACCTGTTAAGAAAATGAAAAGAAAAGTACAAAATGGGAGACACACCTGGAAAAATACAATTACAAAGAGGTATCTGTTCTCAGAACATATAAAGAATTTTCAAAGGAATAGTGAGAAAATAAACAACTAAATAAATAATTTAAAAAACAGGGAATGAAGCTTCAAAGAGAATAAATGGACAGCAACATGTAAAGACACACTGTCAACAATCAGGAAAATAAACACACTTCTAATACAGCTTATGTAGAGGGAGTTCCCACAGAGCTTTGCAGCTGGTTGATTTGGAGTGTTAGCACCTGGATTTTGATCTGCCTTTTGTGACAGCTATCTTCTGTTTGAAGTATGTAAATCTTATCTGAGTGCTTTCGAAAAGGTTCAACGTTTATGCAAAACTTGGTTGCAGAAGAACTTGGAAAACCAGAGAGTTCTGTGGCTGAGAACTGCTTTGGTGTTTCTCTTTGTAGAGCTTCAGATAAGAGGTTTGGTGAGCAGAAACTGACTTGCTAAGGTGGAAATTGTATAACAATAAAAAAGCCTTTTGCAAAGCTATAGTCAGTTCACCAGAAGCTGATTCCCCTGTGGCTGTAAAGGCTAAAAATCATCCTAGAGTGACCCTGTTTCTTCCACAGACCTTTGTGAACTGAACACCTGACAAAACAGCTTAAAAATAAGAAAGAAAAAAATACCAAGGGTTGAGTCAGGCATGGTGGCATACATCTTTAATCTCAGCACTTGGGAGGGGGCAGGTGGCTCATAAGTTCAATACCAGCTTGAGCTACTAAGAACCTGTGTCAAAAAATACCAACCCACTCCCCCAAATCAGGAAAAAATAAACAAGTATTGAAGAAGATGTGGACATCTTTTGCATATTGATAGTGGGAAAATAGTTTCACAGTATCTTATAAAGTTAAACATACCCTTGCCATACAATCCAGCACTATTTCTAAGTACTTAACCTACAGTAGAAGTCAGCAAACCTTTCTTCGAAGGGCCAAATAGGAAATATGTTAGGATTGAAGGCTATATGATTTCTATCCTAATTACTCTGTCACTATACCATGAAGTGAACTATCCACAATATGTAAAAGAATGGGCATAAATGGGTTTGAATAAGAAATATTTTTTCTAAATATCTCCAAGTCATAGTTTGTCCATCTATGAGAGAAATGAACCATACACAGTTGGCATTCTGGCCTGCCCCTTGGGGACCTGCCCTGAATCCTGATGTAATCCTCTTTTAAGGAAAAACCTCTAACTTGTTCTTTCTCTTCTCTCCTTCCTCCCTTCCCCGCCATGAGGTGTGCACATCTCCCCTTTCCCTCCCTTTCTCTTTCTTCCTCTCTCCCTCTTTTCCTCTCTTCTTCTCTATTTCTACAATAATCTCTTTCCATGGGGATGCTGTGCTTAGGGTGTGAGTGACTTTCCAACATGCCATTCCAAAGCCCATTGCTGCTTCTGCATGGTGTGTCTGCCTCACCCTCTGGGGGGCCCCTTGGCTCCACCTGCCAAGGCCTTCCACTCACGCCATATCATTACACACACAAAAGCATTGAACCAGAAAGACTTGACCACGATGGAAGTCCAGAAAGAACTATCAGTAGCACAGACATGCAAAAATTGATCAGCTGCTGCTGGAGTACAGGCATAAAGCCTCAAACCTTGTCAGAATCAGACATTTCAAGTGACTGAAGGTGAGATGGCAAAGTAATGAAAACAAATCCATGGTTTCCAAGAGAGAAGGTCAACCCATCTGTCTCTGGGAGAGGCATAAGATCACTCCTGATGCCAAGACAAAGATAACTGCTTCTGAAAAATGAACAGCAGTAAAAACCCTCTGGTTCCATGGAAAGGACAAGATATTCATTGGGTCTGTGATCCTACACCAACACTGATCAGTGGTGGCACATGCCTGCAATCTCAACCACTTGGGAAGATAAGGCAAGATGATCACAATTTTAGGGCAGCCCATGTAACAGAGTGAGGACTGTTCCCCCCGACACACACACCCCATAACACACAGAAAAAAAAATCCTGATGCAGAGAGATACCTCAGCAGTAAACAATAAGTACTTGTAGAGTACCTAAATGTGGTTCCAGGCACCCATGTCAGGGCCTGTAACTCCAGCTCCAGGGGATCTGATGCTCCTGGACTCTGAGGGTACCTGAACTCATGTGCACACACATACACATAATTAAAAATAATAAAAATATATTTTTAAATTAGTAGTAATACTAACCCCAAATCCAGCTCAACTGTTGACTACCACTGAGTTAGTTCCCCATATTAGCAGCATGATAAGAGGTTGGCCATGAGTGCTCAATATCTGCTTCAGTTTGCTTTCCCACAGGCAAATGTCTATGATTCAACCAAAAATTATGAGCAAAAATTCAAGAAAAATTAACCCACTGTTAACCTATCAGCAGACCTGGACTTAAAGATGATTCAGAGATTGATATTTGTTAAATAGGAGCTCTAATATTTCTAAGGTTTGGCAAGGAATCCTAGCTACTAAAGAGGGCAAGGCAGAAGTGTAGTAGAATATTATTTTAAGGGGTGTTACTTTTGTTTATGTTGCATTTGTTTAACTCTGTGAAGCTGTGTTACAGTGCCTGTGGAAAACACCTGATGGTCTAATAGAGAACTGGCCAATAGCTAGACAGGAGAAAGGAGAGGCGGGGCTGGCAGACAGAGAAAATATATAGGGGGAGAAATCTGGGAGGAAAAGAGCTGGGGGCCAGAGAAGGAGGATGTCAGGGCCCAGCCACCCAGCCACCCAGCTACACTACAAGCCACGGAAGAATAAAAGTAAGATTTACAGAAGTAAGAGAAAAGGGAAAAATCCCAGAGGCAAAAGGTAGAGGGGATAATTTAAAGTTAAGAAAAGCTGGCTAGAAACTAAAGCAAGCTAAGGCTGGGCATTCATAAGTAAGAATACGTCTCCACGTGTATTTATTTGGGAGCTGGGTGGTGGGCCCCCCAAAGAGTAAAAAACCACCACCACCACTAACAACACCACAGAAGAGTGGAAGTTTGAAACCAGCTATGTCCACAAAGGAAAACCTAGTCTCAAAACCAAAGTTATGATTAATATATTAAAAGATCCAGTCAAAAGATCAACAGCATACATATATAGTGACCTTTTCTATCCTCCAGAGGCACTGCATATACATGGCATACAAACATACATTCAGGCAAAACACCCATACACATAAAATTTTTAAAAAGAATATATATATACATACACAGAAAACAAAAAAATTATAAAGAAAATTTTAAAACCTGTAGAGCAAAAATCAACCACAAAGCAATTAAATTTGTAAAACAGCTTACCTAGATGCAAATTCACTTAATTCTGAATATTCTGTTGGTTCCATTATTATGCTGAGGTCAGTTATAATAGAAGATAATTTCTCTTTAGTCTAAAATAAAAGATAAAAAGTTCATGTACAGGAGCAGATACTTTTTAAACTAGACAAAAATACTTTAAAATATGTAAATAGAAAATTGATAAGAAATGATAAGATATTGTTTATTAAGTAAATTAAATCATATACTCAGTACTTACTAAAACATAAAATGATTTCCAAATTAATTATATAAATTGAATATTGAAGCCATAAATATTAGGAGAAATGAATTTTTTAAAAAAACTTTCTAACCAAACAATAAGAAAAAACTAGCAAATATGATTACATAAAAACTCAAAGCTGGGCGGTGGTGGCACATGCCATTAATCCCAGCACTTGGGAAGCAGAGGCAGGCGGATCTCTGTGAGTTCGAGGCCAGCCTGGTCTACAAAGTGAGTTCCAGGAAAGGTGCAAAACTACACAGATAAACCCTGTCTTGAAAAACCAAAAAAACAACAACAACAACAAAAAAAAACACCCCCCAAAATATCTAAATAAAAATCACTTTATGAGAAAAGCCATGAACTGCTGTGGGATGGTCTGTATGTCAAATGTGTTACTGATTGGTCAATAAATAAATCACTGATTGGCCCGTGGCCAGACAGGAAGTACAGGCGGGACAAGGAGGAGAATAGAGCTGAGAAGTGGAAGGCTGAGGCGGAGAGACACTGCCAGCCGCCATGATGACAAGCCACATGTGAAGATGCCGGTAAGCCACGAGCCATGTGGCAAGGTATAGATTAATAGAAATGGATTAATTTAAGCTGTAAGAACAGTTAGCAAGAAGCCTGCCACGGCCATACAGTTTGTAACCAATATAAGTCTCTGTGTTTACTTGGGCGGGTTTGAGTGGCTGTGGGACTGGCGGGTGTCAGAGATTTGTCCTGACTGTGGGCCAGTCAGGAAAACTCTAGGTACAAATGGCGCCCAACGTGTTGGCAAGAGTTTCCACCTAAAACCTGAGAAAAAAGATTCTAAAACGGAGCTAAAAACAGCTTCCTAATTGTCTCTCAAATGAGCAGCAGCTGCAGGTTTGAGCTACTGGAGGGTTCCTAGCGTGCGTGCATGCTCGACCTGCAGTATGGCGGGAATGAGGCCTCTGCAAGTGGCACATTAAGCTGTGTGGTGGATTTAGCCTTTGCTAGTACAAAACAAAACAAAACAAAACAAAACAAAACAAAACAAAAAAAAGAGGTTTCTGGGCTACACGCTGCTTTGATAGAAGCATAGACCCACTATTTCTGAGAGTTGATGGCTCCCAGAGCTGGCGGAAAATGTATCACCGCCATGTTGGGAAGCTGAAGTGGGCGGAGCCAGCAGTGCCAGCGCCGTTTCAGGCTTAGAAGGCTACAGTTCAAAGCAATAGGCTCAAGCTAATATAAAAAAATAAGCCACGTAAAGATGGCTATCACACAGAGAATCTGGATTATGTTGTCTTTGATATTCGTAACTAAAGAAAAACATTTGATTGTAAAAGCTGTTGAGTTATGCCAAAATGTAAATTTTTAAAGGTACCCTGACTTCAAAATTTGGATATAAGGATATGTTGCTTTGGAAAAGAGTCTCTGCTTTTGTTCCCACAGAAAGCCAGAGGCTATGGATTTGTTCCAGATTAAGATACATCAGATTTGACCAGCCAAGACCCCCTGAAAGGTGACACCAAGGCCCAGATGATCCAACATCCAGAATGGTTTCAAGGCAACTGGCTCAGACGATACAGCCTCACGGACTACTCCATGATCCTAAAATTTTCTGTTTCCCCAGAAGATACAGTGCCCCCCTCCAGCAGGAAGTAGTAAGAGAAGCTACGCCCAAATTCCCAAATATACCAAGCTGACTTTGAAGATGTGTAAAGGTTAAAACCTTCCTTTTTAAGAAAAGAAAAGGGGAAGTGCTGTGGGATGGTCTGTATGTCAAATGTGTTACTGATTGGTCAATAAATAAATCACTGATTGGCCCGTGGCCAGACAGGAAGTATAGGCGGGACAAGGAGGAGAATAGAGCTGGGAAGTGGAAGGCTGAGGCAGAGAGACACTGCCAGTCGCCATGATGACAAGCCACATGTGAAGATGCCGGTAAGCCACGAGCCATGTGGCAAGGTATAGATTAATAGAAATGGATTAATTTAAGCTGTAAGAACAGTTAGCAAGAAGCCTGCCACGGCCATACAGTTTGTAACCAATATAAGTCTCTGTGTTTACTTGGGCGGGTCTGAGTGGCTGTGGGACTGGCGGGTGAGAGAGATTTGTCCTGACTGTGGGCCAGGCAGGAAAACTCAACCTACAATGAACTGAGAAAAATGTTTAACATAAGCATGAAGAAAAGAGAAAAACTAAAGAGAAAAAAAGACATAAACTAAAAGACTTATAAAGCAAATTCCTATATTTAAAAGTTAAGATTTTACTAGTAGTCGATAAATGTAAATTAAAAACAAGTGACATTTTAACTGAACAAAAATTTATAAATTCTACTGCCAGGAACTTGTGGCTAAGTACTTGCCTAGTATGTGCCAGACTCTGTTGTAGGGCAAGGGTTGCCACAGGTAAAGATACACACAAACCTGGCACCAGGAATATAAGATGAACCTTCTGGGAATCATTCTAACAGTGAATTTCCTAAATATTCATTTACTTCACTCTTACACCTTAGAGTCTTAGAAGTTCTACACTAAAGTAAAATAAATTAAGCCTTACAGCTGGGCGGTGGTGACACAGCCCTTTAATCCCAGCACTCGGGAGGCAGATGCAGGTGGATCTCTGTGAGTCTAAGGCCAGCCTGGTCTACAGAGCAAGTTCCAGGACAGTAGTATTTATTACCAAAAGCCAGAACCAATTTCATCACTAATGAAAACAATTTCAGACATTCTTTTTTGCTTGTTTGTTTGTTTGAGACCTGGGACAGGGTCTCTAAATGTAGTCCTGGCTGTTCTGGAATTCACAAGGAGCCAATTGCCTCTGGTTCCAAGAGCTGAGATTGAAGGTGTGCATGAACATACCTCGTGATGCTCCAGAGACATTCTTATAACTCAGATTTTAAAGAGACAACATAATTAAAAGTTGGACAAAAGATTTGAATAGACATTTCTCCAAAGACGATATCAAAGAGGCAGTAATCTACTGATGAATAACATATTGCTATTATTGTTCTTTATATACACATATACACACATATGTACAATAAAAACTTTAGCTGTGTGTCAACATTAAAAAAAGGTATCTCAGTTTGTCATGTTGAGTTGGCACTGTACAGAAATTAATAGCCATATTGGTCTGGAAATGTTCAATTAATTTTTCTGAGGCTGGAGAGATGGCCCAGCAGTTAAAAGCACTGGCTGCTCTTCCCAGAGGACCCATGTTCAATTCCCAGCACCCACATGGCAGCTCACAACTATCTGTAACCTCAGTTCCAGGGGATCTGATACCTTCACACCAATGCACAAAAATAAAAAGTTAAACAAATAAAAAGTAATTTTCCCATTTGTACAGGGTTAATGTATTGTACTAAATATGTAAGTTCTTACCTATCAGTTTGATCATAGAATCTACGAGTATTCTCTAAAAAAATTAAAAAAAAAAATAGGCAGTAATCACAGAAGTGATGGACTTTATCTAGTAGTTCCATTTGATAGAGCAATTGCACTTCTAGTGATACAGCCAAAACAAATCTATATACCCATTTAAAAACCTCGCATGAGTGTTTATGACAGCATTAATCATAACAACTAAAAGTGGAAACAACTCACCAAGTGCTGAAATGGACAAAATGTGGTACATCCACACATGGGATACTATTTAATCCAAAAAAGTGCAAACACATGCTATAACAAGGATGAGCCTTGAAAACATGACAAATAAATCAAATGTTGTATGATTCTACTTCTATGAAATATTCAAAGTGGAAAAATCAATAAAGAACAGATTAGTGCTTCCATAGGACTGAATAAAGAGGAGGAAACAAAGGGTTTATCTCAATGAAGTTTATATTTAAAAAATTATTTTAAGGAAAAATATAGGGAGTTGGAGCAATGGATCAGTGGTTAACAGCACTTGCTGCTCTTGCAGAGAACTGAACTCCTGCAGGGAACCTGCATCCTCACGATGACTCAGAACCTCTTTAATGTCAGTTCCAAGGGCTCCAATGTGAATACCAAGTAAGAACATGGTGTACATATACATAAAGTAAAATAAATAGACAGATAGATAGGTTTAAAAAATCTTTAAAAAAGAAAGAAAATATAGAAAGGTTAGGAGAAAACAAAACTCTCAGAAGCCCCTCTCTCTCTTGTGTGTGCACACGACTCTGTGTGTGTGTGTGTGTGTGTGTGTGTGTGTGTGTGTGTGTGTGTGTGTGTGTGTGTGTTGCTGCAGGCCGCAGGAATATATCATAAGAACTCAGCTGGTTATGGCAAAGTCACTACCTGGAGGAATCAGGGAATTCCTCCAGAGGAAGTCAAATCCCAAGGAGTTTTTGGTGTTACTTGGCTTGTTATATATCAGCTGTATTCTGTTATGAAAATCATGTGTGCCTTCATAGTTTTCCCAATTGACTTTTCCCTAAGAAAGGCTAACAGTGTGGACTGAACACTCTCTGGACATACACATTCCAGGTATTTGGAGAACAGCCTCAGGAAAGGCTTTCTCTGGAATCAGATATCTCCCTTGGCCACTTTCAAGGACTAGCAGTATTAACAGTCCACATGCAAGTCTCCTGATTTAAGACAAATTCCACAAGGAGACACCACCTAGGTCAGGTGGATGTTCAGTAATAGCTTTACACAATTTAGCTCAGACCCTCCTTTCTTACAGCCTTACTAACTTTATAGACCTCTAACTCCTTATCTAACCACTTCTAGGAATATTTGGATAACCTTCTGCACTGACAGCTATCCTTAGCCAGAACCCCAGTTCAAGCCTCCCTGTAATTATCATCATTAGCAGCATCCGGCCAGGTCCATCCCCAGATGGAGGAGAGTACTTTATCAGAGATACCTCTGTATTCTCTAAGAACAGACT